GCCCTGCGCTCTGGCGCGCCTCCAGATCCCTTTTGCGGTCTGGTGCGGTGAAGGGTCGGCTTCTCTGTGGAGAAGCCTAGGAAACTTGGGAGAACGGTTTTTCTTTCCCTGCTTTTCCTGTCTTGGAATAGAGCTAGTCCTTGGACAACCGCAGAGAGTTAATAGCGAGACAGTGTATGACTCAGCCGAGGGAGAAGGCCTTTGGTTGCCCTGAAATAGTACTTGGCAACCACCGGAGAGGAAGGGCAGAAGAAATGCGTTGAGCATATTTGTGCTGTTGGTTTTCGGTTCTAAGGCATTTCTGTGCCATGTGTCACTTGGGGTTTTTTTGGTTGTGTTTCGGCGTGCCGCTGTGTAGATGGCATCCTTGTTCTGCTCTTTGCGAGATGTTGCTGGAACTAGGCTGAGTGGAATAAGGCACACGATGATGATGGGGATGTCCTTTAAGTAGCCACAGAGCCAGGGTCTCACGGTGGAGTGAGAAAGATCTTTCAGTTACGCTGATCCTTGAGCCAGAGGACACAAATGCCAAGCTATTTATTCCGTTGACAATTGGGATAAATTGTAATCGTGACTGTGACAGACCTCACCGCTGCTGTCGTCCAAGAGATTTTATTGTTAGTTTTACAATGCTAGCTCAATTCTTCGTGGTGAAACCAGTCAGTGTAAGATCTCTTGCTTGTAACTCGTCGGCTTTCGTCTGTGTGTGATCTCGCTTCCCGGCCTCCAGATCTGATCCTGCAAAGAATTAGTGCTCAGCCATGTGCCGGCTGCAGCAAAGCCCTTTGTGTTAAGCTGCGCTGAAACGACACAAGTCCTTAGATCGAGATTCATGTTAATAATTAATTGTATGTTGTCATTCGGGTTATTTGACCACTGCATCCTTCAGAATTGAGGGATTTTTGTCGGTTTGGTTAGAAATCTTTGAGGGGGGGGAAGAGAGTGGATTTTTTTCCTTTGGTTTATTTTTTTCCCCAGTACCTCATCTGTCACTGAATAGAAAGTACTGTAGTCTCAAATTAAAATTAAAGCTGATGGAAAAAGAGTAATTTCATGTGGAGAAACAGAGGGAAACTGAACAGCCTCCATGTGGGCCTGCTGTCTTTTGATACATTAAAATAGTGAATTTTCAGCATATGTGGAAAGAAATCTGTTCCTTCTTAGGATGCTGCGTACTACCAGAATAACAAGAATAACTACTACTAGATTTAGGCTGGAAAACCAGTTTTCCCTGCTCTATATACACATGGCTATAGGAAGCTTTGATCTACAAGTCCATTCAAACGCAAACTCTTACTGTTTGCTTAAACTCTATGTAAAGGTACTTACCACTTTAGAGGTCAAATTGCTTGAAGGCAGCGTAAGAATGGAGATAGGGCAGTTGAAAAATTCATGCAGAATCAGTAAATTGGCCCTGAAGCCATAAGACTTCAGATGCAAGAGAAAGGAAAGTTAATCTCAAGAATAGTCAGCCACTTGAATGGAGAGCCTTAAGCCTGGCATACTGCACATACTTGGATTTCAGTATGCTGTTCAAGCTTCTATATAAGCTTTTCTATAAAATGGAAGAGTAGAATGAAAAAAGAGAATATCTCTCCCTTTCCCCAGACCTTCCCAGCCTTTTCCAGTCAGATCTTGTAAAATCACCTGGTGACTGGCCTACTTTTACAAATGCCCCCTTAAGTGATTTGGCTGTAGGCACACGATGGGTTACTGGTAGAGCCAGGAATAGCACCAGCAAATCCTGACTCACTGTTTGCTGCTGTAATCGTAGTAGGTATATTTTCTCCTAGAGTCGCTAACACCATTTGAACAAGAATTTGATTTCTACTTCAGTAGTGGCACGATAGATGAGAACTTTATTCTTTCTTCTGTGAGCAGAATAGTGCAGAAACAATGGCTTAGCTCCGGAGGGACTGAAGGGTGTGTCTGAAC